TAAACCAGTATTTTTCAATCATACTTTATATAATTCCTTCCAGTCCCCCTCCCCACCATCCTAATACTGGACAGCTCATGTAGTACATCTGGCCCATTAACACGGTCTCCCCATTTACACAGTGGAAAATTATCTTTGAAAGCAGATGACACCATATGGAGAAGTGGATGAAAGTGGATTTTCTTTTCTCTTTGGGGGATTTATATGATTTTGTGATGCTTCATGGATGGATAGGGTCACTTATTTTAATCCATTTTCATCACAATAGCAGACAATTTTATGTCAAAAGGGATCTACAAATATTCTATAATAATGTGTTTTGGTTTTCAGTTAGAATTTTGTGATAAACTTGTTCTACTGGATAACCCAAGCTCTTGTGAAAAGAGAGCAATGCTTTTGGAAAAAAACCCCAACAAGAGTATGCTATCAGAATATGGTAAAAAAAAATTACCTCATTATTGATATCAAAGACTCCTTCTTGGATTTTCTCGTAGATTTCCTTTGCAGTATTAATAAATGCCTACAATAAAAGAGGAATTTTAGATCAATTTGAGATGAAACAAATGGATACAATATGCTTTTCAAAGTAAAAAAAATAACACATGAAAAGTCCAACCCTGATCTCACCGACTTCAATGGGAATCTACCACTGACCTCAACAGCAACAGGAATGAAGATGAGGTATAGTAACTCACCTGAAGAAGCATCAATCACAGCCCACAAATACTGGTATTTTATAACAACAGCATCTGTATTATAAAAGCTGCTGTCCAATCATTACTAAGGAAAGTGGTTTTTAAAATATAAATTACTCTTAAATACTTTATTTCTGGCTCTTATGGATAATGTGGCAGATGGTTCTCCCCACTCTGAATATCTCTGTATCTTTGTAATATGTCACTCTAGATTAGAGTGCTTAGCAACATAAAACCACAGGGTACTTACGATGATGTTGATGTAAGGATGCTCTCTCTGTTAGACAAAACCTTATGCCATCATTCAATATTCACCTAATTCTAAGAATTTATCCTCTTCAATTAATCACATACTGTACATGCAAAGCTAGACAATTGGTTGAGCAGTAAAAGCCAAAGATGTAGGCTTTCAGAGAATTTAACTTTGAATTCAGAGTAAAGATTTGCCCAATAGTACATTTAAGGCCAAGCTAACATATTGTTAACTATAAGGATGTTAGTAGAGAAGGATTAGTTATCAATATCGAGATGCAAAAAAAAATATGTAATTTTTTTTTAAATTTATAGGTCAAGTAACTCCTAATAGGTAATATATAATTTAAGGTTTGATTGACAATAGTTAATATCTATACTCAATACTACAAACAAAAAAAAAAAAAATCTCTTCTTGAAATACTCTCCCCCTGTATCGTCAGACCAGACATGCTATTTTCTACAGAAGTCCACTACATCTGATATGGATCTAATTCAAATATAAAAAAGTAAACAGGGTTCACGGAGAGGAACAAATCATACCTTTCCTCATTTCTACAGTGGAAGCATTTGACTGCTGAACTTGCCACCAGAGCTTTGTTTCCTAATTAACAGGACTGATATGTTTTCACCTTTAAAGGCCTTACAGCTCCCCAGAGTAATCAATCTACTGCAGCTCAATTACTGCACCAAGCACATACCACAGTCAGTGAAGGAGACTTGAACGACTGCGGCAGGAGTGGAAAGATATGAATATGCATAAACTCTAAGTGGGTGATCGAATCATCACAGAGGGTCATGAGAATTTGCAGCAAAATAATGAGAAGAATTAATCATTGCAGATTCACAAGGCACTTAGGAAGTGAGTACGTTTTTCAAACGTGTGTTAGAGTTGAGGGGAAAAATTGGCTTTCAGCCAACTACAAATTGATTCACACTCCTCAGAAATTAAAGTTCTCCCTATAAAGAGGGCGGAACCCCTCCCCTCCACCAGCCCCCAAACTTATCTTTGCTCCTGGTAGCACACCATTTATTGCAACATCCATATACATTTGACTAATTGAAAACTATGGTCAAAACTTCAGAATTAACACAGCTGGAATCTCTTATATGGATATTCACTTGCTGCCATTAGAGAAGAACATTAAACAGAACCATGAAGTCCTGAAAATGTGTTATGATAACTTCACATAAACAAGCACTTAACAATTGGCATGTACAACACAGTCCTAGAATTCATTACTGAGCATGCCTACTTCTTACAGTTGTTAACTTTATACTTAAGTCAAAGAAAAGCTATTACAGTTTCCAGCCAAAGCTTTATTTTAGACAAAGGAAAATGTGTGTTTATGGCAATGACATTAACTAAGACTTCTACCTAAGTTAAAAGTGTAAATCACTGTATTGAATTTGGTTGGACTACCCCGTGCTTAATTTATTCAGCCCAAGCTTAAGTACTTTGCTGAACTACTGTTCTTGTTCCAAAAATATAAAGAATAATTAAATTTTAATCAATCAATCATCTTAAATTAACTCCAAGTCACAGATTAACAGCTTGTCATTATGGCTCTGAAACACCAATTATTAGTACTAAAGCAGTTGTAGTCTGACATGCTACACTGGGAAATAACCAATTCAATCTATAATCTATAATTCAATTCAAAAGTTGTGATTTCTCAGAAGAAAAATATTAGTTAAAATATACCATAACATGTTCCTCATTGGTATGGATTCAGAAGGAAAATTACTAGCCAGTTATGAAAGTGAAAAAATGTCATACCCAGCACTTAAAAAAAACCCCAAATTTTTTTGTGGGTTCTGATAAATTCATATTTAAACTAAGATGCACTTCAAAGCAAAAAAGGTAGTTTCTAGCACATACATTAGTACAAGAATTAGAAACTCAAATACATATAATGCTCATTGAAAGCTTCACATCCAAATAAATTCAATGCAATTATCAACTAGGGCAGTGGTCTCCAAAATGGGGTGCACGCAAGACAATCCACTGGGGTGTGGGAAGAAAATGCTAGAACTTCTATTTATATTTATATAAATATACATATATTGGGGGTGCGTGTTCAAAAATTTTTTACTGATAGGGGTGCGTGATCAAAAAGGTTTGGAGACCACTGATCTAGGGCATGGGTGACCAAGATAAGTCAGATGACGTGGCTCTGTGGGCCATGTGGGGCTCTCCATAGGTCTGGAAATTTTGCGGGGTGGGGGGCAAGTAGTGCAAGTGTTAACTGCTGTGGTTCCCCAAAAGCACAGCAATTAACACTGCCTTTGCTTGTCCTGCCACCAAATTTCTGGCCTTGTGCACCAAGTCTGGCCTGCACACCAGCTCCACAAATGTGTTGGGCACCTACTTATCTTGGGGACCAATACAATAAAATATACTGCATTACACACAAGGGAAAAAGGTGCTCTACAACTAATGTGCTCTACAACTAATGAATTCCCCTTTCTGCTACCTTGGAAATTCATATCTGGATAAGTAACATTGCCTATATCTGTCTTTGTACTCACGTCAAGAATACATTCAGAGAAATTATTTTGTGTTTAAAACATTTGATATGGACTCAGATAATCGGGGTTCTAGCCATGACTTTACCACAGGTTAAACACATTGGGCAAATCACTTTTTAGTGGTTCACTCTTCCTATTTATAAAAGTAAGGATAATGGCACCTCTCTACCTCTGAAGCTTGTTGCAATGAACTTTTTAATGAGGGTCTCTGCAATAACTATGAGCATGATTACTGTTGCAAAGCTAATAATTAAATGAATTATTATTGATTTTTAAAAGGTCCGTGAGCACAATAATGGAAAAGCATTTATATTTCTGTTTTCATTTAAAGAAAAGAACACTTCTTCTGCTGAAAACTCAAAAATGGAGCAATGACATTTTCTGTTCATGTAACATGCTGCCATCTGGTGGTCATATTCAAACTGCATCACTGGAAATCAACAAACTGGCTGGTCAACTATCTGCAATACCATCACTTTTATAGCTTAAATGCTACAGTATTAGATGTAACAGTGAAAAAATGTAAAAATAAGTTACAAAATGCCAGTCAGACATATATGACTTTTAGCCATATTTAGTTAAGACCTTAAGTTAGTTAATTCCTGGAGTTACATTTCTCACCTTTTCCCCTCCCTCCATTAAATATTAAGATAAAACAACAGAAACTATTGTGGTATTAATGTATGACTAACTAAAGGGTGTGCCTCAGATAGTCACTGAAGCCAAATATATTTTCAGGTAGATAACAGACAAAAAAATATAGCAAACTTGCATAGTCACTGCCATTCATTATAGCTGGTTAGTAGTTCCACAACAAAATTCTTTTAAAGGGAATGCCGACTTGTTAGTAAGCCTGAAATGTTTTCTTTGAGACAACTCAAGTTCAAAAAACTTTTAAGTCAGACCTTGAAATGAATTCTTGGTGGCTTGCCCTAGACTTGGAAACCTGACCCTGACCAAGAGCTGGGGATCCAAACATTTACATATACTGCCTCACTGCTGTTTTGCAGTGGGGACCTACAAGCTTCACGTCCTTGGTCCTGGGGAAATCTGCCTGAAAGTATTCCAGGACTCAATTCAGGAACAGCCAGCCATGCAAGCATTTCTAGGTTCTTTGCTATGGAGTCTGAAAACCATGATCAGCTAAGGGCTTATCTCCTGACTCTGTAACAAGGAGCCTGGAAGCCCCAACAACTTTAGCTGGAGCCAGGGTTCCCAGAACTTCCACACCTCCTGTTTGCAGGACTGGAACAGACTTCAGGATCTCTGGAGAGGCTGTTCTGGAAAGCTCTGTAACTTCAAAATAGTCCCTCACCATTGAAAAAGATATGAATATCTATTTCAGTGAGGAGCTGCAAGGATCTGGGAGGTTGGCAGTACAGCACAATTAACACCCCCCCAAAAAAAGAAATTCAATTTAAAAAATCTCCATAGAACTGTACACTCTGCTATTTAGCCAGTTCTAGTCTTCACAAATTTCCAATCCTCCCATAGTTTAAAAAGCACCATTCCAAATCCGAGTCTTAGGTTTAAAACACTTAACATTACACTCTTAATTACACAAAACCCTCATGTTAAGTAGAATTTCACTAGCAAAATTATGTTGAATAGCTGTTCCCCTCTGATTAGCATTTAAAAACAAATCAGATAAATAAGCTCGTCTTAGAAGAACAGCATAATATGCTTTGAAAAAAGGTTTACATTAGGGAAAGGCTGAGTTCTAATAAGAATTTAGTCTAGTTAAAAGGCATCTTTAAAAGAAAGTTTGAATCAGTTCCTAGTTGTTGTGTAGGCCACCTTACCTTCCATTTATGATTGAATATTATCCCTGTAGAAACCATACATGAATTACTTACATGGATAATTAATATTAGAAAAGATATTTTTAGGATCCTCTAATGCAATTTAACAGCAGGAAAGAATCAGCATCACATGACCAGACAGTTCTCATACACCAGACTCAGTGCTCTAAAGACCAAATTGTGAACTGTTGGTTTAATCTATTCTGAGATTTCACTGTAAATATCAAATCCACTAAGTC